AAAATATCCCGCTTGCGTCCCAATATAAGCACACACAAATGACCGTGCCTCGTTATTGCCTCGCATCACTTCACTCGATTTCCTGCAGTCAATCAAATCCAATTAAAACAACCCTTTCCCGACCCTAGCTTACCCTATTGTTCTCCACAGAGCAACCCTCGGAATAAGACAATATCGCTATAATTGGATAATTGGCAATTTTGATATTAGACGGGAGTCATTGTATTTCCAGGTGACCTTGTGAAAACTCAACGCGAGCCCTGGACTATATGATACCACGGACTTAGATCTAATATAAATCTGTGATGATACACATACATTTGTACCTTATTAGATTTACTTTAATACTTTCAAAACATGTTTTCTTCCATAACTGAAAACAAAGAGAAACGCGACGGTACACCATACTACCTGTGTTACTTGGAGGATCGGTTATAAATGCCCTTTGGCCACAAATTTCACAGGTAACACCTCCGAGGTAATTAGTTCACCTGTTGACTCATAGGTAGGTATCGTAAATGCCCTTTGGCTATTGTATAATGTGGTAAGAACTACAGGTAATTAACATACCTTTTAATAAGATATTTAGGTGTGTCAACTGTATATTACTATACCTTAGCTAAAAGTTATAGTGTACAGTCTTGGAAGTATAACTTCTTCTTTCTAAGGATTGATGTCTTCTTTTTTTTTTGTCTATTGATGACTTAACCCATACAACACATATTGGTTGCTGTCATAACTTACACTATTTTGCAAATAGTATATGAGTATGTAAAGGGGGCGTCTCAGAGTGGTTAAACATAACAAACATGTATTTCAAAACACCAGGTCGATAAAAATAACAAACACGGCACAATCACATAGTTTTATTTTGACATAGTAAGTGTTTAAAACATCAAACATGTATTTCAAAACACCAGGCCGATATCAATTACAAACACGGCACAATTCCATAGTTTTATTTGACATATTATTGGAGTGTATTATTTCAACGGCATATTTCGAGTGTGTTATAAACACGTATTTCAAAACACCAGGTCGAAGTAAATTACAAACACGGCACAATTCGAGTATGTTACAATCACGTAAATTTTACAAACACGGCACAGGTCGAGTATGTAACAAACACGTATCTCAAAACACCAGGTCGAAGTAAATTATACACACGGCACAGTTTTATAGTTTTAATTTGATATTTTAACAGAGTGTATTATTTCAACGGCACAGTTCGAGTGCGTTATAAACATGTATTTAAAATTACCAGGTCGAAGTAAATTACAAAAGCGGCACAGTATTATCTTGACACATTAATCAAGTGTTTAAAACACGAATTTCAAAACACCAAGTCGGAGTAAATTACAAACACGGCAGTTTTTATAGTTTTATTTTGACATAGTAAGCGTATAAAACATCAAACATGTATTTCAAAACACCAGGCCGATATCAATTACAAACACGGCACAATTCCCTAGTTTTTTTTGACATATTTGTTGAGTGTATTATTTCAACGGCACAATTCGAGTATGTAACAAACACGTATCTCAAAACACCAGGTCGAAGTAAATTACAAACACGGCACAGTTTTATAGTTTTAATTTGACATATTAATCGAGTGTTTAATAAACACGTATTTTAGATCATCAGGCCGAATAAAGTACAAACACAATAAATTTATTTAAATATATTTTTATTACAAATCGAGTAATAAGCAAACATATTTCAACAGACACGGCCGAAGTATATTACAAACACGGCACAATTCCATAGTTTTATTTGACATATTAATGGAGTGTATACACATGTATTTTAACGGCACAGTTCGATTATGTTACAGACACGTATTTCAAAACACCAGGTCGAAGTAAATTACAAACACGGCTCAATTCCATAGTTTTAAACATGTATTTCAACGGCGCTGTTCGAGTATGTAACAAACACGGCACATTTTCAAAGTTTAATTTGACATAAATCGAGTATGTATCAAACACGTATTCCAAAACACCAGTTTCAAGTTGAAGTAAATTACAAACACGGCACAATTCCATAGTTTTATTTTGACATATAAATGTATTATTTAAACATGTAATTTTAACGGCACTATTCGACATTGTAACAAACACGGCACATTTTTCAAAGTTTAATTTGACATATAAATCGAGTATGTATCAAACACGTATTCCAAAACACCAGTTTCAAGTTGAAGTAAATTACAAACACGGCACAGTTCCATAGTTTTATTCTGATTAAACCAAATGAACATAGGTGAAGAAAAGCACATACACGTTGTTAATTATGAGGCGAGCTGTCGACTGACAAGTGTTCACACATCAACAGAGCTACCTGGTGATGCTTGACATCGCCCGCGGCAGCTCGAAGTGGTCGACAGGCTACTACCCGGTTAGATCAAAGGCCTAGCTAACCGCCAGCGCAGATCCTGTTGCCGCGGAGCACAGGTAAATAAAGGGGGTAAAATAAAAAGCCACGAGTAAAATAAAAAGCCACGAGTAAAATAAAAATCCGGGAGTACTTTAAAAGTCAATGAGTAAAATACTTTAATTCGTCAGGGGGGTAAAATAACCCGGATAGGAGTACTTTAACTTGTCAGAGGGGTAAAATAATAATCTAGGAGTACTTTAACTCGTCAGGGGGGTAAAATAACTTAGATAGGAGTACTTTAACTCATCATGGGGGTAAAATAATAATATAGGTGTACTTTAACTCGTCATGGGGTAAAATAACTCTGAAATCCTTTCCAGGTTATTTTACTCCTAGACGTTTTATTTTACCCCAATACATTTTATTTTGCTCAATTCTGAGTATTTTACTCCTTTTCTATTCACCAGTGATCTCTCCACTCCAAACTTATCTCCAACTATAAACTGTTAAACTACTGAGATCTACAAACTACAGCTAAAACTACTATTATAACTAACTTCCTAATTCTCACTTTAACTCTAATTCTCCTGTATATTTCTAGACTGTAATGGTATTGCACTTGTATATATATGTGTAATCGAAACACGCCTTTAATGTGTTGATGTGTAATACGTGAATGCTGGCTCCACTCCTGAATACACAAGATCGCCACAGACCCATGCGTCTTCAGTGTTTTATTTAATCTGTTAATAATGTCAGGCAACAGACAACGCTACATAGACCTCTCAACTCGGTCTCCCTAACTCAACCCCCTTTTCTCTAGACTCCTTATATTAACTCAACTCCCCAACCCAGTTCTCTTCTCCTTTGACTCCCAATCTGAACTACCTTACTATCTGTCCCTTAGCTTGGTTGGTTGGTTGGTTGATGGGTTTATAAACTACACTTCACGGGGGAAGCCCTGTGTTCGATCGTCTTGAGGGGGTAAGACTCCAGCTTACTGGGCCCTCAGAGATTCAAAATGTCCTAGCCCATCCAGGTCACGCTCTAAGGTCGGACAGCCCTCAGATGCAGATAGGCTGTCACAGCTACTGCAGCACACATACGGGAACACGGGAAACACGTCCTATTTGTCCCTTAGCAAAAAAATGCTACATTAAAACTAGGTTCTGTTCAACTGGCCATAAATCCTGCTAAATTTGACTGGGGGAGGGGGGTAAGCATCAGCTGGAGGCACAAACACTGACATCACAGACTGGACTCCCCTCGACTTGACTACAGACAGTCACACTAATCTACAGATCCAAACTTATATCATAACCACAATTATCTATGGCCACTTAGCTACTATCTTCAAATAAAACTCTGACACTGACCTCAGCCACAGCTAATAGAATTCATAGCATAAACGGCTAATAAATGCATAACAGTGACTGTGAAAAACTAATGATTTATAGAAGAGGACAAAACGTTGTCCCCGTCTGATCCCTGAGTGATGGTAGTTCCAGGGTATCCAGCAGTGATGTCATTCTGCTTTCTCTATTAACAGGACAGCATGACATTGTATCTTTTCCATAGAATGGATTTTGTTTTACTGGTACAGATCCCATATTGGTGCGCTAACTTGTGAGTTGTTAACCTCAGTGACAAAGGACACTGTTGCAGATTCCGTCGTAAGAAACCGAGAGTAGAAGTTGCTTTATTTGTGATGGTGTGGATATGAGCATCCCATTTCATGGAGTTGTGAATAAACCCTAAGTATGGATTCTCTTCCACTTCCTGGAGAATATGGCCATCAAGTTGGTAAATGTAGGTGCTATAATTGACCTAGGCTAGCTCATGAAGGTTGGAGGTTGTAACATTTTGCCACATTGAACAATGTACCCCTTTTATTAGACCATCCTTCTGGAAGTTACCGGTAAGGTGGTCATGCAGACATTTGATTAAGCGACTGTACAACAAATAATTATCAGCAAAAGGTTGTACGGTAGATAGATATTACACAAGCATGCAGGAACATCATTTATATGGCAGAAAAAGTATTGGTCAAAGTACCGACCCTTGGGATACCCAAGACCCTACTTTCTCTGGTGTTGACTAATACTATTATCAGTTTGTAGTGGGGAGATTCAACTTGGAGGAAACATACAAAGTTTTTACGGATAAATTTTCTCATATGTATGTAGGCATTATCTGAATACTAGAATAAGTGTACAATTGACATGATGGTGCTGCATGGGTTGTGATCAGAGCATACAGATATAAATTTATCTTCTTTGTTTGTAAGGTACATATCATCCTGGACATAATATCCTGTTAAAAACAAAAAATGATTTGGTACATTTTAAAATATTTCTGTTGTAGGAGCAAACTGAAGATCAGATTTGAAGATGACCATGTTTGAGACAGTGCCAGTTGTAGATGTCCACAAAGAAAACTTCAAAGAAATATGGCCATCTTTGTTGCTGTCGATAAAAACATCTACATTTATTGCCATGGACACAGTAAGAAATTTGTAATACATACATATACTCTGGAAACTTCACCACTCTCAGTCTCCTGTTTAAATTCTCATCCAAATTACTTGCTCTTAATACCATGGTACTCCTATTAAGTTTCCCCTCCATGTCTCAAATCCAAGACCTACTCCAAGTCCACTCAGAGTCAACTGTCCACTTCAGGTCTCCATTTGAAGTAACAATTCAAAGTCACTGCTAAATTTTTATCCATACTTCCTTGTGAAGTCTTCTTTCCAGGTCAAGTCTGGTCGTGAATCAGTTTTAAATCTTACCCCAAATCTCCACACCAAGTCCTCAATTTCTCCACTTTCAAGTATTTCAAAAAATCCCAGCTTGAATTCACAATCCTACTATTCATAAGTGGTATGCCTTTTCATGAACAAAATATTATTTTGGACTTTTTTTAAAAATCAACTAGCAACATTTTTTTCTTAGTATGTAATACTTAATTAAAAAACTTACGCGTATGTAGTTGTTTTCTGGTATACTTATGACATGGGATGTCAATTTCTCAATGCTTGTATGACAAACTATTGAATTAGGTTACAAAAACAAACACAATCGTAATCCTAGCTATTTAAAGAAATGTTCCTTTGTATAAATATTTGGTAGATATATGACCTTTCATGTTTAACTCTGATTAGAAAATAATATGAGGTTGATTCCATAGACACGAGGGTAACGTGTACATTTATAAAAAAAAAAATACCAGACGAGAACAAAATACATTTTAGAATATCTGTATACAAGACATTTCCTAAGTTATACACACAAATTAAATGTGTATGAAATATGCTTTTATTCATTGCAAAAGGTAGATTATTGTAGTAATTGTCTACAACCCTCCCATCCTGGATACTCCAGGGGTTATGCTGAGTTTCGCTCTCTGTACCCCTGGAATATGTCACAGCAAATTGAAGGCACACTGCTGGCTATTTGATTGGTCTCCAATTATAAAAACCTGACCAATCGCAAGGCTAATACCTGTCCTTTAAAGATTACAGAGGAGTGACACCAGCCTTCAAAACCAGTCAATTTTACCGTTAAGCGATTGACAAATTGTTTTGATGTACATCAAAGGATCAAACTAGTCTTCTCATCTCATCCACAAGATATTCGATGGGGCACAATGAGCCTTCAATTTTGTCATTACATATTGCAGATAGCGAAACAGAGCGTAACTGTTGGAGTATCGAGGATGCAACTCTCCTGATAGTAATTGATATGAAAAGCTGTTATTATTTAATTCATCTCTCTTTTTTTTCTTTCTTTTTCAGGAGCTCAGTGGATTAGGAAACAGGAAGTCACTTGTTGCCAAGTAAGTAAAACACTTCTAGGTCCACAGAGGATTGCTTAGAATGATAAGTTATGCATGTCTATCTATAATCATGCTCATAATCGTAGGTAAAACAAAATTGAACCTTTACTAGGAGGAATAGAGAGACATGCTTTCTAGTTTATGTAAGAAATTTCTAAAACAGCAATTTATAATAAAAAAATAATTCACGGTTTATTTAATAACTTTACAAGAGGTTGATATATAATCTGGATCCATAGCAGACTTTTACTATAAGATGATATATCGGGGTAGTACAGAATATTCAATGACTGCATCAGAACTAAACACTACTGTGATATAACAATTTGATGATGACCGCAATAGTATAATATTAATGTTTGTTCTAGGTCTATAGAGGACCGCTACAAAGGTATAGCCACCAGCGCAAAGTCTCGATCCATTCTCTCCATTGGCATATCGTGTTACAAACTTGTTGAAGTGACAAACTCACTAAATAAGGAGTGCACCGATTCCAGTGAGGAGGCCCAGGGGTTGCCACAGGGGGGCGTGGGGCCTGGAGGGTGTCGATGGAAGTTCCTAGTCCAAACTTACAACATAACAACTCTATGTGAGGAGGATTATGTTGTTGAGCCAGCCTCATTGAAGTTTCTCGTCGAGCATGGCTTTGATTTCAACCGACAGTATGCCAAAGGGGTTCCTTACTGTAGGGGGAATGATAAGGTAAGTTCCTTACTGTAGGAGGAATGATAAGGTAAGTTTGTTACTTTAGGGGGAATGATAAGGTAAGTTCCTTACTGTAGGGGGAATGATAAGGTAAGTTTGTTACTTTAGGGGGAAAGATAAGGTAAGTTCCTTACTATAGGGGGAATGATAAGGTAAGTTCCTTACTGTAGGGGGAATGATAAGGTAAGTTCCTTACTGTAGGGGGAAAGATAAGGTAAGTTCCTTACTGTAGGAGGAATGATAAGGTAAGTTTGTTACTTTAGGGGGAATGATAAGGTAAGTTCCTTACTGTAGGGGGAATGATAAGGTAAGTTTGTTACTTTAGGGGGAAAGATAAGGTAAGTTCCTTACTATAGGGGGAATGATAAGGTAAGTTCCTTACTGTAGGGGGAATGATAAGGTAAGTTCCTTACTGTAGGGGGAATGATAAGGTAAGTTCCTTACTGTAGGGGGAATGATAAGGTAAGTTCCTTACTGTAGGGGGAATGATAAGGTAAGTTCCTTACTGTAGGGGGAATGATAAGGTAAGTTCCTTACTGTAGGGGGAATGATAAGGTAAGTTCCTTACTGTAGGGGGAATGATAAGGTAAGTTCCTTACTGTAGGGGGAATGATAAGGTAAGTTCCTTACTGTAGGGGGAATGATAAGGTAAGTTCCTTACTGTAGGGGGAATGATAAGGTAAGTTCCTTACTGTAGGGGGAATGATAAGGTAAGTTCCTTACTGTAGGGGGAATGATAAGGTAAGTTCCTTACTGTAGGGGGAATGATAAGGTAAGTTCCTTACTGTAGGGGGAATGATAAGGTAAGTTCCTTACTGTAGGAGGAATGATAAGGTAAGTTCCTTACTGTAGGGGGAATGATAAGGTAAGTTCCTTACTGTAGGGGGAATGATAAGGTAAGTTCCTTACTGTAGGGGGAATGATAAGGTAAGTTCCTTACTGTAGGGGGAATGATAAGGTAAGTTCCTTACTGTAGGGGGAATGATAAGGTAAGTTCCTTACTGTAGGGGGAATGATAAGGTAAGTTCCTTACTGTAGGGGGAATGATAAGGTAAGTTCCTTACTGTAGGGGGAATGATAAGGTAAGTTCCTTACTGTAGGGGGAATGATAAGGTAAGTTCCTTACTGTAGGGGGAATGATAAGGTAAGTTCCTTACTGTAGGGGGAATGATAAGGTAAGTTCCTTACTGTAGGGGGAATGATAAGGTAAGTTCCTTACTGTAGGGGGAATGATAAGGTAAGTTCCTTACTGTAGGGGGAATGATAAGGTAAGTTCCTTACTGTAGGGGGAATGATAAGGTAAGTTCCTTACTGTAGGGGGAATGATAAGGTAAGTTCCTTACTGTAGGGGGAATGATAAGGTAAGTTCCTTACTGTAGGGGGAATGATAAGGTAAGTTCCTTACTGTAGGGGGAATGATAAGGTAAGTTCCTTACTGTAGGGGGAATGATAAGGTAAGTTCCTTACTGTAGGGGGAATGATAAGGTAAGTTCCTTACTGTAGGGGGAATGATAAGGTAAGTTCCTTACTGTAGGGGGAATGATAAGGTAAGTTCCTTACTGTAGGGGGAATGATAAGGTAAGTTCCTTACTGTAGGGGGAATGATAAGGTAAGTTCCTTACTGTAGGGGGAATGATAAGGTAAGTTCCTTACTGTAGGGGGAATGATAAGGTAAGTTCCTTACTGTAGGGGGAATGATAAGGTAAGTTCCTTACTGTAGGGGGAATGATAAGGTAAGTTCCTTACTGTAGGGGGAATGATAAGGTAAGTTCCTTACTGTAGGGGGAATGATAAGGTAAGTTCCTTACTGTAGGGGGAATGATAAGGTAAGTTCCTTACTGTAGGGGGAATGATAAGGTAAGTTCCTTACTGTAGGGGGAATGATAAGGTAAGTTCCTTACTGTAGGGGGAATGATAAGGTAAGTTCCTTACTGTAGGGGGAATGATAAGGTAAGTTCCTTACTGTAGGGGGAATGATAAGGTAAGTTCCTTACTGTAGGGGGAATGATAAGGTAAGTTCCTTACTGTAGGGGGAATGATAAGGTAAGTTCCTTACTGTAGGGGGAATGATAAGGTAAGTTCCTTACTGTAGGGGGAATGATAAGGTAAGTTCCTTACTGTAGGGGGAATGATAAGGTAAGTTCCTTACTGTAGGGGGAATGATAAGGTAAGTTCCTTACTGTAGGGGGAATGATAAGGTAAGTTCCTTACTGTAGGGGGAATGATAAGGTAAGTTCCTTACTGTAGGGGGAATGATAAGGTAAGTTCCTTACTGTAGGGGGAATGATAAGGTAAGTTCCTTACTGTAGGGGGAATGATAAGGTAAGTTCCTTACTGTAGGGGGAATGATAAGGTAAGTTCCTTACTGTAGGGGGAATGATAAGGTAAGTTCCTTACTGTAGGGGGAATGATAAGGTAAGTTCCTTACTGTAGGGGGAATGATAAGGTAAGTTCCTTACTGTAGGGGGAATGATAAGGTAAGTTCCTTACTGTAGGGGGAATGATAAGGTAAGTTCCTTACTGTAGGGGGAATGATAAGGTAAGTTCCTTACTGTAGGGGGAATGATAAGGTAAGTTCCTTACTGTAGGGGGAATGATAAGGTAAGTTCCTTACTGTAGGGGGAATGATAAGGTAAGTTCCTTACTGTAGGGGGAATGATAAGGTAAGTTCCTTACTGTAGGGGGAATGATAAGGTAAGTTCCTTACTGTAGGGGGAATGATAAGGTAAGTTTGTTACTGTAGGGGGAATGATAAGGTAAGTTTGTTACTGTAGGGGGAACGATAAGGTAAGTTCCTTACTGTAGGGGGGAATAATAAGGTAAGTTCCTTACTGTAGGGGGAATGATAAGGTAAGTTCCTTACTGTAGGGGGAATGATAAGGTAAGTTCCTTACTGTAGGGGGAATGATAAGGTAAGTGTCTTGCTGAACACGACTTCAACTTCACGTTGTATGCAAATAGTGTTCCTTTTCTTTCGACACAGACTAGCAGCATGCATATCTACTATTTCTATCACAATACGCTGTGTTATTCCACTCTCAGGTCATTGTATAAACACGCAGACTGTAAGATAAATATGAGTTTTATACCACACGTGCTATATGACCTACACAAGTTTTGATTGGTCGAGAAGATGAACTTTGACCGGGACGACTTTTTCCACACGCTGTTTGCCACAATCTGTTTTGTTTACGTCGTCTGCTGTCAACAATCGACAAATGTTGGTGACTTTGTGAGGTTATGCGGAAAAGGGGGTTATTAAGGCAATATTAAAAGAAGATGATACTTAAAGATTTGATCGCTAGGTTCAGGCAAAATTGTTACCGTCGCTCGATATCGTTTCGACGTCACACCGTCGCTTGTCCAAGTCGTGAAACCAAAACAATTAAGATCTGTCACAGTGTCGGAAAATATTTCGTTCTCCCAACGTCCCGTTATCGCTATTTGGACGGTCTGACTATGGCTGAACTGTCACCAAAAAACGTCAACCATAGAACCATCACGAAGAAACGTAGGCCTATGGTTTTGGACATTGCCAGCGATAAGTTCGTCTTCGTCACTTGGCGGGAGGCAGACTTCGTACGATATGCTTACGCGCATATAGTCCGTGATTAATTTATATAAATTAATGCAATACTGCTACTCCCAATATTTAAAGTCGTTCATCTATTATATTTTTTCATGAAGTTGTTGACGAAACATTAATTTTGACAATTATTAGATTTGTAAAAAAAAGAAGCCATTTTTGAATATTAAGGAGTGACTGTTTACATATGGGTCATATCACTACGCCAGCCTTGTCAACAAACACATGTGCTTATGTTATTTAGAACTGATCATGAGATTGTGGTAGAAACAGATCACACGACTTGTGGTTATGGAGTATGGTATTTATTTCACTCTCGTTAGTTAATTTTCAAAAGTTTCAGAAAGACACTCGCTAAAGCTTGTGTCTTTTGTAACTTTTGAAAATTAACTAACGAGAGTGAAATAAATACCATATTCAACAACCACTCAATGTGTAACCTCTACATATCTGTGAACACAGGTATTCAATTTCATATGTGGAGTTTTAGTGTGCAGACAGACTTTGACAAATAATACTAGCCCGATACTTATTTTCATAGTAAATACAGGAAACTTCAGCTAGCCATACATAAAATCTACTAGAATCGAGTGTTTCCGGCTTGAGTAATTGTACACCTCTTTGTGTATCTACAATATTAAGGCACTTTATACAACTACGGAGACAGCATTGACAACTCCATGGCAACCAAACAGAAATAGCAAAATGTCTGCTTCCTGTTTACCAGGAAGTGTTGGGTTGAGAAAATATATTTGAAGGAAAGCTTATTGATAGTTCTTGATATTTAATTGCAGAGCTGTGTTTTATTTAAATCTTGACTAGGTTGACAGTAAAACAGACACAATGTCTCTGCGTCAGCTGTTTATGGAGATCCTGGGAGCAGCATGTCCGATTATTTTTCACAATGCCCTGATGGACCTTGTGTTTCTGTATGAAAACCTGTATGCCAGCACCCCACCAAATATGGCCGCTTTCCTAGCCGACCTGACAGAAATGTTTCCCGCAGGTATCTACGATACAAAATACATCACAGACTTCAAACACAAGATGCCTGCCTCCTACCTCGAATACGTTTTCAGGAAATGGTATGAATTCTGTAATTCAAAAGTTAAGTTTCAAGGAATTTTCCTTTAGCCAAAGGGAAAATTATCTTGCCATTTTAGGTCAAATAAAAATATAGCTGTGTTTCCCGTTTCCTAACCAACCCTATTTTTTCATGCCGACCCTAATTCATTTTATTGGATTTTCACAGTCACTGTTATGCATTTATTATTAGCCATTTAATTGTTCAAAGTGTACATGTGATGTGTTATGCATTTTATTAGCCTTGGCTTGAGGTCAGTGTCAGAGTTTTATTAGCCTTGGCTTGAAGTCCGTGTCAGAGTTTTATTAGCCTTGGCTTGAAGTCAGGGTCAGAGTTTTATTAGCCTTGGCTTGAGGGCAGTGTCATTTTATTAGCCTTGGCTTGAGGTCAGTGTCAGAGCTTTATTAGCCTTGGCTTGAGGTCAGTGTCAGAGCTTTATTAGCCTTGGCTTGAGGTCAGTGTCAGAGCTTTATTAGCCTTGGCTTGAGGTCAGTGTCAGTGTTTTATTAGCCTTGGCTTGAGGGCAGTGTCAGAGTTTTATTAGCCTTGGCTTGGAGTCAGTGTCAGAGTTTTATTAGCCTTGGCTTGAAGTCAGGGTCAGAGTTTTATTAGCCTTGGCTTGAGGTGAGTGTCATTTTATTAGCCTTGGCTTGAGGTCAGTGTCATTTTATTAGCCTTGTCTTGAGGTCAGTGTCAGAGTTTTATTTGAAAATAGTAGTTAAGTAGCCGTAGATAATTGCTTATGATATAGGTTGGGATCTGTAGATCAGTGTGACCGTCTAGTCTAGGTGGGGGAAGTCCAGTCTGTGATGTCAGTGTTTGTGCCTCCGGCTGATGCTTACTGCCGGGGTCAAATTTAGCAGGACTAATGGCAAGTTAAACCTAGTCGTATAGGGGTAGAATTTTAGCAGGATTTCAGCAGCATCAACAATTTTAATGTATCAACATTTTTAATGTAGCAGGATTTTGCTAAGGGAAAGATAGTAAGGTGGTTCTGTTCAGCTTGGGAGCTTGGAAGTCGAAGGAGAAGAGAGTTTAGTTGAGAAATTGAGTTAAGGAGTCTTGAGGAAGGAGGCTGAGTTAGGGAGACTGAGTTGCTAAGCCTATGAGATATAGGGAAGAGTTAGAAAGTTAGAGTGAGAATTAGGAAGTTAGTAATAATATTGATTTTAGCTGTAGTTTGTAGATCTGTGTAGTTTTACAGTCAATAGTTGGAGATAAGTATGAAGTGGGGAGATTGAATTCACAATGGTGAAGACATGTGTATTTTATGATGGATTAAAATACTTGTGTTGTAAATAAAGTGTAAATATTTATGTACTTATTTTTTGTTCAATTAATTTGAACAAATTGAAAACACCAATAACCTTGAAATTACTTTGGTTATTTCGTAATCATTTAGGTACGTACAATTTATTTGTGTATTTTGATTTTGCATGATGAAAAAAATAAAATAAAATGCAAAACATAATTGTGGAAAGAGGATTTGGAAGCAAGTTTTCCAAGTCATATAATCCTTCTCTAGTTGAAGAAATACATGTAGGAATTTGAGGGCCACATGATATATGACTATAATATTTGAGAAAGAAATATACAGCAATGCATTGTTTCATTTTTATTTTATCAGTAGATGAAAGTACTTGTTTCAACAGAGAAAATATGATGAAGACAAAATACATTAGCAAATGTTCTTAGTTTCAAAAAGAATAAGTAATTAATGAAAACTTATAAACTTAAGTATTTGATAATTGGACATTGATTTGAAGAATTATTGTTTTACAGTTTGAGAACTAATAAAGAGTCTTCGTTGGGGTGTAAGGAACACGCATGGGTGGAATTCCCTACATACCCTGCTGGGTTTTCCCACATTACTCGATGTAACTGTGTGCGTCCTGGGGCAGCCATCCCCTCCCACATCAACAAGGACACTCAGGACAGACTGAAAGCCACTGTCTGTGGGAGTTACGCAGTAAGTGTTACTGGTCAACTTGTCCTCTACAACCTGGGACAGAGGGCTCTGTCCCAGGTCTATCTGTATATGTTCATCCAATCATTTTTGTCCCCTGAAAAACTGTTCGCTTGCTAATGTGACTGTAAATTCATTTGTTGTACTTTCTGTTTTCCTTGTGATGTTGTTTGTTTGGTAGCAGTCTACAGTAGAGGGTTGTGGCCGTGGGTGATATTTATGTTAAATGGCTAACCCCTGTATAATGATATGTAAAAAAAAATATAAAAATAAAACTGTGCTAAAATTGGTATAAGCATGATGAAGTAGGCTATGTGAGCTTCACATTTGTAAAAAAAAAAAGGGCCATAATCAGAAAGGGTGCATGCCTACACATGAAAAGCTAGCTTTACAGGAGGTAACATTTTGACAACAGCACATGACGCAAAATTGCAAAAAATCAAGTTTGACAACTTTACTGGGACCCAGAACATTCTGCAACCAAGTAGGTAACCTTTAATTTCAGACAGGACAAGTGACATACATAGAAAATAGAGGTTTATACACTTCTCAGTGCTTTATATGTATTGTAAATGTAATGCAGTTTACAAATATATATACATGTATACATGTGTTGTGTAGGGTAAATTCGATAACATTTCCTCGACATGTGCCTTGTTTATCAGTCGGGCCATTTCTTCTGTACACTGCTACCTTTACCCGGTAATACTGTTTATTCTAAGATCTCAATGATGGTTTTCTGTATCTAAATGTACAGCACATGCAATGGTACATATCTGGAGTTAAATGATCGAGCTGATTTTGAACACAAGGACATTAATTCAGACTATATTTAGTGAATTCTGAGTCACATTATTGTGTAACATGTTTAAACAAACACTCTTCTTAGATAAATGCTAGCAACAGCATATATATATATATATATAGTAGAACCAGTGTGCCAGGTATTTAAATGCTATTCACTTAAGAAAATTTAACATATTTCCATCAGCTCTTTCACGAAAACAATTATTTGTTGAGGTACTTCTGTTATGTCAGGCACCACTATCCATTATACTTTTCAAGATTGTTGTCATTGTAAGGTTATTTAATTTTAAGTCCACATCATTATTTCTGAGTGACTGAACTATATTTTGTATAATGTAACTTTGTATTTCAGGGCCATGGATGGTGTAGTCGCGGCAACAGTTGTGCCAAATCCCATGATGTTGACCTCATACTAGATATTGACTTCCTTGCCCAGTCAAAGAAAAGTCGTAAACGGAAACGTCGCAGAGATAATAACCCAAAAACAGACAATGAGAGTGGAGGTTTAACAGAGCCAGAAGAAGAGCAAGAAATGGAAACTACTATTGCTGACATGTCAATTGTTGCCAAGGAGGAATCTGAAGTGTGTGAAAAGGATTCTTTGAAAAGCAGTGAAAATGGTGCAGTGATTCTTCCTGGTGCTGTGGGAGTGGGTAAAGGACCAGTGGTGTCGGGAAAACACAGGGCAGGTTTTGATGCATTCATGACTGGGTATATCATGGCAAGCTATGTGTCTGAATACGGTACTTACAAAGGTAGCTTGAAGATGGAGGATGTGGGATTAGAAGAAATCCAAAACCTGGTATATTTGACAGGGAAAGACATTGCTTTATCTGTTGTTAAAAGTGGCTTTGCAAAGACATCCAAAGACCATCGAGAAAAGTTATCAAAGTATTGTTAGATCTCATTTTAGCGTTTTGGAAGTGATCTTTAATTTTACTCACTTGAAATAACCTTTAAGATTGCATGATAATTAGATGTCAGTTTTAAGGCCATCTTAGTCACTAATGTGTCATATCTTGATTGCCTTTGATGCATCCTTTGTAACCACAAGGAAAACAACCATTTTTACTCCTCAGAAACTGTCCAATAGATTTTGATGAGACTTGGTAAACATCAGCCTGTGGTGCATATCAAATATATGCTGAAAACAAAGGAGCTGACTCACTGGGGGTCCCATAATTCAAAGTCTTACTGGTAGATTTCCACGAGCTTTCATGAAATTGTTTTATTCACTATACTCCGTGTTGAGGGGCACTTGTCGCACCGAGCTTTCATTTGTATTAAGTAAGATCCACACAAGTTTCACATCTGTGACTGTTAAGACCTCTTGTTTAAGGACACCAATCGTTTTGTAATTGTCCACATGTTCTTTGTTAGAAGAGTGTTTCCCAAACATTTCCCCATCTTTTTCAAGATGTCTTATCATTATGGCAGGCATTTGCTTTATAACAGACTATTCCTATATAAGATTGTCATATAAGTGTAATCATAAAAGTGTTACATAGTGTTCCCTGATAAACTGCTACAACTTTTCACACTGTAACTTTACACGATATAATGCAGGGTGGCCATAGAAATGGGGAGGAGTTAACAAATGGGGAGGTAATTAATACAGATACTATATACCAGGAAATTTCAGCAGTCACACTTTTGCCCTTTGCTGTTACCTAGTAAATAAAATCTGGATTTGAACAGTGTTAACGTAGCACTATTTATGTTTATGTATAGGATGGTGTTAACTAATATTCGCTGTCATGACAGATTCATCCCCATGACAGCAGATGAAAAAGGTAGAAGTTTATCTGTGGCATTGCAAAAATGCTCCGATATATCAGTATTATAATTTTTATATATATTGATTACAGTTCACCTGATATTTTAATGCTTTCATTTTCTTCTACAATAAAGTATGTGATCAGCAAAAGTCTTGTTTGTGAATCTTATTGTTCCGAATATTGAAATATTAATGTGTAATGAGTCAGAATTCCTTATGGTGCCTCCCAATAAATAACAGCAATGCATTTCATATTCAGAATGAAATTGAAAAACTTAATTCAACCACAAATTTGTTTTAGGTTGAAGATTTCCATCTAACTACAGTTGATTCTGATCAGCTTCTGTGTTGTGGTCAGGTATTTGGAGTGTTAGCTTATGACCTGGATTGATCAACATGGTGCAGGTAGGGGCAGGTCGTGTCACCCTCTGGCTCGAGGGGGTTCTGTATGGAAGGCCTATGTATAATTGTAGAACACCTATTGCCTGTCCTAAGGTGACACCACTGTTTTGTATGCAGTTGAAAGGATTGTAGTCCACACACCCTAAGACTCAATGATCCTTGCCAGCACTGAACTTCCATATGGTGTAGTGTTTTATTGAACTTAGCTGGAGGTTTTGTCCTAATTGTCTCCCTTTGATTATCCCGCCATTAAATAACCACACTCCTCCAGGCCAGATCTTACTCCTTATCTGCCTCCTGTCCGTCATCTACCCTTATAATGATGTATATGGTCTGTATGACGAGTTCTGCTCAGGCCTATCTTAATGCCTAAACCGATTATTTGACACAAAAGTTCAGGTATTGGTGAAGCTGGTATTGCATTGTGTTATTAGCTCACCTGGTCCAAAGGACCAAGGTGAGCTTATGCCATACCGTGGCGTCCGGCGTCCGTCCGTCAACAATTTCTTTAAACGACTTCTTCTTCTTAACCACTGATTGGAATTTAACTAAATTTGACTGGAAGCATCCCTTGGTGGTGAGGATTCAAAATTGTACAAATGGTGGGGCTGAGAATCGGGGCAAAAAGGGGGCAATTTGGCTAAACTACTTTAAGCGACTACTTCTCTGGAACTAAGTGATGGATATCAACCATATTAGACTGGAAGCATCCCTAGGTTGTGGATATTCAAAATTGTACAAATGGTTGGGCTGACCCCCCAGGGGGCTGAGGGGCGGGGCCAAAAAGGGGTAATTTGGCTATATTTCTACAAACGACTTCTTCTGTAGAACTATGGGCTTGATATCAATTATATTTAATCAAAAGCATATATGGGATGCAGGGATTGAAAATTGTACAAATGGTGGGGCTGACCTCCCAGGGGGCTGAGGGGCAGGACCAGAAAGGGTTATTTGGCTATATTGCTTTAAGCTACTTCTTCACTGGAACTAAGTGATGGATATCAGTCATATTAGACTGGAAGCATCCCTAGGTGGTGGGGATTCAAAATTGTACAAATGGTGGGGCTGACCCACAGAGGGCTGAGGGCGGGGCCAAAAGGGGCAATTTGGCTAGATTGCTATAAACGACTTCTTCTGTAGAACTATGCACTGGATATCGATCATATTTGGTCGGAAGCATTCATAGGAGGCAGGGATTCAAAGTTGTACAAATGGTGGGGCTGACCCCCCAGGCTAAGGGGTGGGGCCAAAAAAAATTTATTGCCTGGAAATGGTCGAGATCCCCACCATATAACCACATATACAATTGCTGAGTATAAAGAGAAGAATGCACATTTGCTTCCGGGATGGCTCTAGGGTCTGGCCCCACACTTAGAAACATAGTCCTTGGGCCATAACTTAAAAACGGTTGAGATCCCCGACCTATAACCATATAGACAATTGCTGAGTAAAAAGAGATGAATGCGCATATGCTTCCAGGATGGTCTTGGGGACTGCCCCACCCTTGGAGACTTAACCCCTGGGTCATAACGGCGAAATGGTTAAGATCCCCACCCCAAAACTATATATACAAATGCTGGGCAAAAATAGTCAAATGCAGTCATGATATTAGAATTGCTCCTGGGGTCTGGCCACAACCATAGGGACCTAGTTTCTGAGTCGCAGATTGGAAACAGTTGAGATCCCCACCCCATAACCATACATAAAATTGCTGGGCATGAAAAATCAAATACAGATATATATACTGCAAGGATTGGCCTTGGGGTCTGGCATATTCCCTTGGATCTCATTTGGAGAATATTCTGCCATGATTGCTTAGATATCCAGGTGAGCGATACAGGCCCTATGGGCCTCTTGTTATGCTTACCCGGCCTTTCACCATTGTGGACTATAATGCACTCATACAGATCAAAGCATGGTAGAGTTTTCTAAAGCCACAAAGGGTTGAAAAGGATAAGATACATACGGTGATGTCAAATGGTAAAACATATAGCTAGAAATGCCTGGCAGGGTTGGCATCTTATACTCGGAAATATATAGTGGATACTGGGAAATATAGTGGCAATATACGAGAGTGGAGTTTTAATCAGAGAAGGTACTCTAGGGGGAACACTACTATAAATCTGGTTATTTTGGTGATTGCTTCTTATTGGTGAAGAAAGGGACAATAATAGCAGGCATAAGCAAACATTGTAATAATTCGTTACCCTGATATCAACAGTTTTTGGGCCTAATGGTGCCACATAGATGACTATCCCGGGGCCTGTTCGTTTATGCAGAATAACCAGTTTCGTCTCAATCAAGAATAAACCCTGGCAAACCTATATATGTTTATGCAGACTTCGCATGGCTTTGTCAAGGTTCGTCTGAAAGCAGCATCAGATTACTAGGTCTGACCTTACTTCATAAACGAACAACTCTGATCCAACTGGTTCAACCGTTTGGATGAACAAAAGCGGCCCCAGTCTCCTAACCCACTATATACAATTATTGCCGTTTGTTTGTGGTATGTTACTCTGTCGGTGACATATATTATGTACAGTTGCCAAATTTCTTATGATAAAAGTTTGTAAGGAGGTTCTGGACTATGGGTTGAATGTAATACTTTGTGTGTGTGTTNGGGGGGGGGGGGGGGGGGTCTGTCCAGGCTCTGTGTCTGCTCACCTGGCCTGAAGTGTGTGTAAACAGTGTACAGTGTACACAGATGTAGGAGGCACGGTAGTCTAGTGGTAGGACGCCGGGCTCATGACCGAAGGCGTGCTGGTTCAAGTCACGTAATGGCACTGTGTTGTATATTTGAGCAAGATACTTTACTCTGCTTGTTCCAGTCTACTCAGCTGTAAAGGAGTACCTAGTTGGGCAGTGCTAGGATTGTTGAATGCTAGCTGTGAGCGCCAAAATGGCAGCACCTGCTGTATGCTCCCCAGGGAGTTAAGAACAATATTGGCTGGTTGCAAAGGCCCTATAACCATGGATAATAATTTGTGAACCGCTTTGAGATGACCTACGAACTAGGTTGTGATAAAGCGGTATATAAGAACCTTGTATTATTAGCGCACCTGGTCTGAAGGACCAAGGTGAGCTTATACCATACCGTGGCGTCCGTACGTCAACAATTTCTTTAAACGACTTCTTCTTCTTAACCACTGGTTGGAATTAAACTAAATTTGACTGGAAGCATCCCTAGGTGGTGAGGATTCAAAATTGTACAAATGGTGGGGCTGACCTCCCAGGGGGCTGAGGGCCGGGGCCAAAAGGGGTCAATTTGCCCATATTGCTTTAAGCGACTTCTTCTCTGAAACTAAGAAATGGATATCAAACAAATTTGACTGGAAGCATCCCTAGGAGGTGGTGATTAAAAATTGTACAAATGGTGGGGCTGACTCCCCAGGGGGCTTAGGGGCGGGGCCAAAAGGGGGCAATTTGGCTATATTGCTACAAACGACTTCTTCTGTAGAACAGTGCACTGGATATCAATCATATTTGATCAAAAGCATTCCTGGGAGGCAGGGATTTAAAATTGTACAAATGGTGTGGCTGACCCCCCAGGGGGCTGAGGGGCAGGGCCAAAAAGGGTATTTGGCTATACTGCTTTAAGCGACTTCTTCTCTGGAACTAAGAAGTGGATATCAACCATATTTGACTGGAAGCATCCCTAGGTGATGGTGATTAAAAATTGTACAAATGGTGGGGCTGACTCCCCAGGGGGCTAAGGGGCGGGGCCAAAAGGGGGCCATTTGGCTATATTGCTACAAACGACTTCTTCTGTAGAACAGTGCACTGGATATCAATCATATTTGATCAAAAGCATTCCTGGGAGGCAGGGATTTAAAATTGTACAAATGGTGTGGCTGACCACCCAGGGGGCTGAGGGGCAGGGCCAAAAAGGGTATTTGGCTATACTGCTTTAAGTGACTTCGCCTCTGGAACTAAGAAGTGGATATCAACCATTTTTGACTGGAAGCATCCCTAGGTGATGGTGATGAAAAATTGTACAAATGGTGAGGCTGACTCCCCAGGGGGCTAAGGGGCGGGGCGGGGCCAAAAGGGGGCCATTTGGCTATATTGCTACAAACGACTTCTTCTGTAGAACTGTGCACTGGATATCAATCATATTTGATCAAAAGCATTCCTGGGAGGCAGGGATTTAAAATTGTACAAATGGTGTGGCTGACCCCCCAGGGGGCTGAGGGGCAGGGCCAAAAAGGGTATTTGGCTATACTGCTT